AAACTTGATCAAAAGTAAAAAAGAGTAGAGTGTTGGATAACACAAGTAAGATCGCACGAGAATCAGAAGCCGAATTGCAATATTATGCAAGAATTTTCTCTAGTCTGTAAATTGTAGCAATACAATTTCTTTGTTCTAATCTAAGCTGACACGCCGAATCTTACAAACAAGATTTGCCGTGGGGAAGTCGAGTTGGGTCTCAGATTTCACAAGGTTCCTCAGTTGGTCTCTAGGCGTTGAGAGACATGTCTGAAACGTTGCAAGAGCAGGAGGGACCTCCATTGACAAAGCCGAAAGCACATTGCTCAAGTACTCGATATCGACTGCTAGTTGCTGAGCTCCCTTGTCAGTTATATATTGAATTCCTCTCAACTGCTCTATGTAAAGAGCAGTCGCCCCCTCTGCAACCTGCGAAAGCGAAGGAACCCTGAATCAACAATAATTTTCGAAATAGAGTTGGCATCAACCAAACATATAGGATAAATGTTGCATACCTTGAACATCCATTCGGCTGCAAAGAACTGGGCTTCGTCATTGTTGGAATCACTATTTGAAATGCCCTCGGCAAGTGGCTCCATCTGCTGGGGTAAAGTGAGTAGGTACTCCCCAATGCTGGTGACGTAGGCTTGTGGGTAGGCACTGAAGGTTGGGAGATGGAATGCGCTCTGCTCTTCAACTGCCGACCAGATAGGCAAACGCGATACGTCGCTCAGGCGTTGCCTTACCTTAGATATGAGGACATCGTACACAAGTTCATTGACCGTATCAGCGAATCCCGCAACTCTCTGTGATGCGTGGGGAAGAGCGTGAAATCTCGGGTCCTTAGACTGCAAATGCATGTGAATGATTATTTAGGAATCAGCGAGGTGAGCAGATGATAACAATGTATTTGTTTTGGATGAAAAACTAAGTAACTTCAGAAAAAGTTGGGATCTGAAAGTGATCGCAACATAAGTAAAATCGTGTACCTGATCCAATAGGTTAAATAGTTTCCGGGCCTTCTCAGGAACATCGACGAGACGTACAGCTGCCACGTCCAAAGCAGCTCTTCCACCCAAAGAAGGTTCTCCATCTCCATCATTATTTCCCCCATGCGAATAGTTGTGGTCCAAACTTGATCCAAACACAGAAAATGACAGACTCGTGCTTATTCTAGCTAGAGCAGCTCTCAAGGATGCTTCAAACACAGAGGATCTGCTTGTCAAACAGTCTGCAACTGTAAGTATTTGAAGGGCACCCTGGACAATTGACCATTCCTCTTCGTTTGAGGACAAGTCAGCTTTCCGTGTACTTTGACTCCCTTCCTTGGGATCAATAGTATTATTATCCACTCCACAGACAGCCCTTAATGATCTGAGGGTTTCTTGAAGAGAAGAGATGTACTGGAGCATTATATCATCGAGTGCAAGAAGCAGTTCGTCCACCTCAGACCCACCAGTAAAGCTGAGGCATCTCTCAACAGAAGCTTCTAAAAGAACAATTACTTGTGGGATAGACTCTTCCATCCTTCGTACTGTTTCACTCAGTTCAATTCCTTGGGCTCCCACACCACGAGTAACCGCTCCTCTTAGATCAACCCCAGCAATCTCAGACGACAGGATGGCACGCTCCATCTGTCCATACCTACAAGCGTGTAATTTCAATAATAGGCCAGCCAAATGAGATAGTCACTTGGTTTCTGGAGCTGGGGAATACAAGAAGTTCATTGAACTAGAGAATAACAGATCTATTGTGCTAAAAACTCAAACATAGAAGTATTGAACACAGGGGAGACCCCTTCATTTCAGTCAACAATAGCTCACCTCTGTTTGTACGATTCATAGGGCAGGTAAACAGCCTTCAGTGTATCCATGAGAACTCGAAGATCAGATTCTGAAAATAAGTGCTGGATATTCCTTGCAAAGGTACCAGTTGTATTGTGCAATTCGATTAGTGCTTCCAGGTGCTTAGTCTGAATCTTGATGCCTTTTGGCATATCTCCCGACAAAATATCCAGTATGCCTGAAATGTTAAATGGAGATATGAACTTCAACAGGCGAGTAAAATAAGAAAAGGAAGAATCTGAAAAGACATAACTACCTTGCTTCTATTGGGGAACTGAGCAATAGCTCAGTTTTTAGGAACAATAATCGTCTAATGGAAACCATTATATATATAGTAAACTAGTTATTGGATCGACAGAAAAACATAAGAAATCTGACAATGAGGAAGGTAAATGATGATTGGATAGACCTTTTGAAAGTGCTTTAGTTTCAGGAAGGACTTCTCCAGTGGCAAGGTTAAGACGAGAGACAAAACTTGCTCCTACAGCTGCCATTGTCTCAACTAGTAGCTTCGGTAGCAGCATCTTATAATCATCAGGGAACGCAACCATGCACCTGTAACAGTAATTTAAGACTCTGGTTTGAAAGATGAGATAGAACTAGCACAAAAAGCATGTAGGTAGACATAATTCACTGACTTCTGATGTTTACTACCCAAGACATTTATTACAACGACAGCAAACAGGCCTAACAATACAGCATATGACTTCAACAGTATAACAGAGAATGTGTATCAACTTGTTTGTCCCCAATGACATTCTTTGAAGGCCAAGGTTGTTGCACAATCTGAAAACTAATGCTCAGATGAAGGACCAAACTTTTTAAAATCTAACATATATATTTGTTTGAGCCTGAAAAAGATACCATCTAGTCTACCTAGCAAGTCATTGTTCCTTAATAACTGGAAAGATTGCCTGCCATGTCAAATAGGATTAACTAGCGAAGTCTTCTCCTCAGTTCTAAATGGCCGTCACAGCTTATAATAGCTTAGCTGGAAGATAGAATTTTCCCCTTTTACAGAAACCAGTTGAGATTGAAATTTTGGGGAACCAAGGAAGAAGAAAATACCACTTCCATTCCTGTTCAAGATACATCAGCAGTTCATCATAGAAGCTCGGCAACCAACTTGAGAACGGAACTGTTGGCAAATCATTGTTGCCTGATGTCCTTTCGAACTCATTCCTCCCATTTGCTTGCTTGGCAGCTTGCTGCCTTGTATCAAAATCTTCCCACAACTGCTTGATGGGCTTCAAATGAACTTTAGTATAATGCATCTCCAGAGACTTAAACCTGCCAATTCTCATCAGAATTCCACGCAAGTCCTGTGCAACGTCAACCTGTACAACAGTAGGCATTTGAGTGAAACCCCCCAACAAACAGAAATGCAAAAAACAAAACTAAACTAAAGGAAGAACAAGTTCTCCAGGATCATGGGTAACCTTGCGGTTTGATAATGCGTCGGTTAGACGAGGCTGCACCATGGAATCAAGCCTATCCTCTAAGACCTCAAGTTGCTTTCTCACATTAGCAAATTCAGCAACCTAAAGCAGAGAGAGTTGATAAAAGAATGAGCAATTGAGTTAGCACTATCAGCAACATGAAAACATAAAACAAGGATGGTAGATCAACGGCACTTGATAATAACCTCGCCAACAGCAGATAAGCAGTGTCTCATATTGGCCAATGTTTCCGCAGCACGAGGAAGATCACCACTGGCAAACACATCCTCCACTGTAGAACTTAATTGGGTTAACCCCGCTGCATCCTGCCATGAAATGCATCAATAAATAAGTAATCAATTCATCATCCAGATACATAACAATCGGTAAATTGCGTTCTTTCCGTTAATTTTCAGAAATGAATACCTGTAGAGTCTCGTATGCAGCTTCCATTCTCTGCTTTACGGTATCAACTTTAGCAAGAGCCGCTATAGATTCAGCCGAAGATCCCTCCGCCTACACAGATCAAACCAAAACGCAGCAGAATTATCAAATCTCCAGCTAATTTGCTTCACTCCCACACTACAACAGTGCACAGATCTCCATTCAATGAAATCCAAAAGAGGAAAACCTTTTTGAGCTTCTGAAGGATTGCGGAGATCGAGCTGCGCAGCGAAACGGCATCATCGCGGAGGCGAACAACGTCACGAGTCGCGCGAGGGACGCGGAGGAGCGCGGCGGCGCTTTGCTCCTCCAGCGACGCCGCGATCTCCTCGGACATCATCTGCAGCTTCATTTCCATATCGACGAGGTGGTCGTCGAGGGATTCCTGCGGGTGCCGGGACTGGCAAGCGGCGTTGATCCATTTCTTGGGGTCGAATTTCTCGTCGGAGAACGGACCTAGATCCAGCATCATCTTCCCCGCTTGAGTTATCGATTACTTTACCTCCGTTTCCTCAGGATTCAAGATTCATCCGCTACAAACTTCCTCAGTCCATTACTCCGCTGAGCTAATTTTATCAATGGCCAGTCCGCAACTGCTTCAAATATTGAAATTTGATAAACTATTGGGCAAGGTTGTTAACCCGCGGTTGACTCGAGGGTCGACCCACTTTGACCCTGACCCGATGAAAAAAACGGGTCGCACGCACTCGCCGGGTCGACCGTTACAAGTTACCGGGTTGAAGGTCCAATTGTGTCATTTTTTTCTTTGATTTCCGAAATGCACCTATTTTCCGATTTTTCTTTTCGCCTAACTCAATCTTTGGAATCCTAAGTTGAATATTTGAATATTGATGTTATATAATTGTGTGTGAATTTTCACTTTATGTTGGATCTAAGTACGATATGTTATTTTTGTGTAATATTTTATGTTAGAACTCATATGTATGATAAGATTTGATATAATTTATAAGAATAAGTACAATATAATGACTTTTTCATATTTCCGGGCCAAACCGGGCTAAAACGGTTGACCCATTAACCCTTGATCCACTAGCTCGACCGGGTCCGGGTCAACCCGCGGGTTGACAACCTTGCTATTGGGTTTTGATCTTGATGAAATTCTTAATTCTTGTGAGTTAAATGTTATCTTTGAAAGTATATGTGCTATTCTGACGTACCAATATATTTATAGGGATTATTATTGTAGTACTTAAAGTTGAAGGAGTTCACAAATGAGATAGGAAACTGAAGGTATTAAAGTGAAAATTACTAATTCTTGGAAAGCAAGTAGGACGGGCTGAGGTGGCAAATCTAGAATTATCCATCACTCACAGGATTTCCAGAACTTTCTCACTCTTTCTCTTCTGTGCTTCGTCCACCGTCTCTAGCACCTTCGAAATCCCCTTATAAATTCCATCCCAGACCTTTCAGCAAAGTCGATAGCTATCGGGAAGAGTCTCAAACGGTTGCATTTTCTAGATTTCTGCTTTCCAATCGAAGCTCTGCAACAATGGCGTCCTCACTTGCTCTGAAGAAGCTCGTCTCCTCATCTCTGCTTCCCAGCTCTCTTCGCATGGTTCGCCCGATGGGAGCCGCCGCCGCTCCGTCAGCCTCCCGTCTCTTCAACACCAACGCCGTCCGCAATTACGACGAAGACGGAGACGAACGCCAGATGGATGTAGATCGTCGCTCTCGCCGCCCGTTCCCGCGCGGCCGCGACGATTTCCTCTCAGGTAGTCGTCTTCTAGATCATCGCTGCACTTTTCCCCCAATTCGTCCCTTACTTAATCGCAATTCCGCCACGAAATCCGTGCTTAATTTGATATGTAATTGGAAATCGCAGAGGTGTTCGATCCGTTCTCGCCGACGAGGAGCTTGAGCCAGGTGCTGAACCTGATGGACCAGTTCATGGAGAATCCCCTGCTCTCCCCGGCACGCAGCGCCGGAGGCGGCGGAGTCCGGCGGGGCTGGGACGCTCGGGAGACGGACGAGGATCTGCAGCTGCGCGTGGACATGCCTGGGCTGGGGAAAGAAGATGTGAAGGTCTTGGTGGAGCAGAACACCCTGGTGATCAGGGGCGAAGGAGGGAAGGAATCGGACGACGAGGAGAGCGTCAGGAGGTACTCGAGCCGGATCGATCTGCCGGAGAAGATCTACAGGACGGATCAGGTCAAGGCGGAGATGAAGAACGGAGTGCTGAAGGTGACGGTGCCGAAGGTGAAGGAGGAGGAGAGGAAGGATGTGATTAATGTCAGCGTTGATTGATTACCGCGCGCTGGTGTTTTTCTTTTTCCAGAGTGTGCACTTTCAAGGGTTTAGGGTTTTGTCCGAATAAACGAAGCTGTGAATGTTGACTTCTAGCAGTGTTTTGGATGGAAATGTGATTTAGTGTTCATCTTCGTAGACGCAATTAAAGTTTAAAGACCGTCACCGGAGTTCTTCATTCATACTTCAGTTTGTAACACATCCAAATTGAAGAGCAGAAACAACAAAAGGTACAAATTAGATCAATTAGAGAGAAGAAATGGAACGTTTTTAAGTGGTGAGACGTGAATGGTACTTTCTGAACCACATGGAGCAATCCCTGAGCTGGACGGCGCCACGGATGGGATTGTCGTCGCAATTGCCGGATTTGAACTTGTTCTTCGCAACGAGGAGGCACCCCCAGCAATCGAGATTGCCGAGCTGCTTGTCGCACGTTGCCCCGCCGGTGGCGCGGGTGCCGGAGTGGCAATTAGCCGGGAAGTCACGAGTGTACCTGTAGTCTTCGTCATCGCCACGCTCCCTGTGCACCTTCCTCGTCTCGTCCACCAGCTTGTCGATGAGGTTCGCCACGTTTTTGCTGTACAGCTTGTTCTCCGTCCACCCCGAGCAGGTCGGCCCTCGGACGACGGTTGAGTTGCCGTGCCTGGCTTCTGCGAAGCTCGAAAGGCCGACGAAGAGGAGAACTGCCAGCACTGCCAGTTTCGACATGTCACGATCCATTTTGGGCAATTGCGCACTTTTCTTCTTCACCCCCGCTGTCTGGTGGTGGTGTTTCAGTTGTGTGTGTGATGTTGGTGAGAAATCATGGAGAGTTGGCTCACCATTTATAGCTCGTCCGGCCGTTTGATATGTTGGATTTTGCACCGTCCAATTTTGGGAACAACATTGAAGTTGAGAAACTGAATTATTCTGCTCGATCGGTTGGTCATGCCATATGTGGGCATTTGTACATGTTTTGGGGACGTTTTTTGGTATTTCCGTGTGAACGAGGAGTTATTTCCCAAATTGGCAAATTCTCTCCCCAACAGTTTGCTGATAATTTCGGGGAGCGCGGACTTGAAAGAGGCATGCCATGTGCCCAGTGATGATTTGTGAATTTTCTGGGCCCAAGTTTGGGCCTGAAAGATGGGCTTTGGGAGGACTATCCTGCCGCCGAAGGGCTGATCGGCCTATTGATGCTCGTGAAAGGGAGAACTCTGTGGAGTGTTCCATGGGCCAAGTGGATATTGGGGCATAAGGGTTTTTTTTTTTGGTAAAAGGACAGGCGCGAAAGCGCCTAAACTCGTATTAATCGTAATAAGACGTTCGTGGGTAGTACCCATTACATCATGGTAAAGCCATTGACCAAGATCATGGTCGTACACATCGAAGAGATGTGTACCAAAATTACAGAAGTGGCCTTCCTTTGCAAGAAAGTCGGAGGCAAAATTCGCTTCTCTAAACACATGAGAGACAATAACATCCCAATCCCGATTCATGAGGTTTCTAAGTTGCATAGCAATGTTACCATGACGATGATAATCATTCGGGCTCCCTTTAATGACAGAGATAGCCGTAGCAGAGTCAAGGTTGAGATGCACTTTGCGAAAACCTTTGTCCCAAGCCATCTTCAGGCCCTCAGCAGCCCCTTTCAACTCAGCTGCTGTGATGGAGCAAATGCCCAGGTTGCTGATGAAGGCACCCTTACATCTACCCAGGTGGTCTCTAAGCAGACCCCCAGCCGCGGCATTCCCATTCTGTGAAAAAACAGAGCCATCAGATTGGACTTGGATCCAACCCTACTGAGGTGGCTCCCATCCCACCTGTGCACAATTCCTGAAAGTCTGTGTTCCCGCCTTAATTTTCTGGTCATTTTGGTGGGCATTCCACACAATACAGAACCAAGCATTAATCCTTGAGATGAGGCCAGCCTTCGAGAAGACGCGGCCATCCAGCACCTCCTCGTTCCTCTGCTTCCACAGGTGCCAACAAATGATTCCGAACTCGATACCAGTTCGTCCATCCCTGAGATTATTCATCAACCACACATCCAAAGGGCCATCCATGTTCTTATCAGCCAGCTTGCTGGACAAATCATCCCAGATTAATCTAGCTTTCTGGCAGCTCCTAATAATGTGATCAATAGATTCTTCTTCAAAGTGACAATGGTTGCAGAGGCTGTCTTCAGTCATTCCTCTTCTTGCTCTTTCTTTGTTGGTAAAAAGGCGGCCGTGAAGCACCAACCACAGGAAGTGTTTCACTCTGTTTGGCCCTCTCCACTTCCAGAGATCTGTCCAAGGTTGGTTGCTAGGAGACTCGGCCAAATCAGCAGCCAGCTTGTAAGCCGATTTGAGTCTAAATCTCCCATCTCTCTCCAAGCCCCAGATTGTGATATCTTCCCCCAAGTCATGCTTTGGTGCTTCCATTCCTGCAATTAAGTCCAAAATATCCTTAGGGAGGACCTCATTCAACTTCTGCCAGTCCCATTCTTCATCCTCAGTTGTCCAGTCAGCAACAAAAGAACCATCCACATGGTTGGAGATGTCCACCAGAGCGAAATCTTCCAGAATGAGTCCGTTTTCCAGCCAGGATTGCGACCAAAACTTGGTTGATTTCCCGTCACGAATGCTCCAGCAGGTTGCATCCTTCATCAGATTCATTCCCTTCAGAATTGCTCTCCACAGGCTGGAATGGTTTGTCTTCTTCATTGAGACAATGTTGCCTTCCTTGTGCTTGAAGTATTTGCTTTGCAGTACCTGCACCCATAAGTCAGAGGCTTTATTCAGCATGTGCCAACCGAGCTTAACCATGTAGGCAAGATTCATACAACGAGCAGACTTAAGCCCCAAACCCCCCTGCTCCTTAGGTAGACAGATTCTATCCCAGGAAACCAGGTGTGGTTTCTTCCTCCCTTCCCCAGACCCCCACACAAAGGATCTCACTTTCCTATCAATGGACTCACACACAGACACAGGAAGGAGAGTGGTTTGCATAACGTAGTTGGGGAGAGCGTTTAAAACAGAAATTGCCATGGTCACTCTCCCTGCAAGGGAAAGGGTCTTAGCTTTCCAGCAAGACAACTTGGTATCCATTCTGTCCAGAAAAAACTTGTAAGTATTTTTAGTGATTCTACCATGTAAAACTGGGACACCTAGGTATCTACCAAGGTCAAGAGTTTCCTGGATACCAAGCTTTCCGCAGACATCAAAACGAGTATGGTTCTTAACGTTCCTAGAGAAGAAAACCCTAGATTTATCTTTACTGACAGCTTCCCCTGAGGTCAGACAAAAGGAATCCAAGCATTTAAGCACAACCTCAGCCTGACAGAAGGAAGCTTCAGCAAATAAAACAAGGTCATCCGCGAAAAACAGATGGGAGAGGGCTGGTCCCCCAGGAGAAAGGATCATAGGCTTCCAGTTCCCTAAGGTTACTTCTTCAAAGATACAGTGACTCAGTCTTTCAACACAAAGCGTAAATAGATAGGGAGAGAGAGGGCATCCCTTTCTAAGGCCGCGAGAAGGTCTGAAACTCTCTGTCTCCCCTCCATTCCACAACACTTGGAAGCTAGAAGTGGTGACACACTCCATAACAAGCCTGATGAACCTGTCTGGGAGTCTGGCAGCAATCAGAGTATCCTCGAGGAAGTTCCAGTTGATCCTATCATAGGCTTTGGCGAGGTCAACTTTCAGAAGCATGGTCCCCTTCTTCCCAGACTTTTTGGACATAGTATGGATAGTTTCCTGCAAAATGATAACATTATCAGTAATGTGTCTGTTGGGGATAAAGCTTGACTGGTTATTCTTGACAAGAGTGGGCATGAGAGGTTTTAACCAGTTGGCCAGAATCTTAGTCACAACTTTATACCCGACATTACACAAACTAATTGGTCTAAATTGGTTCATGGATGTAGGGTTTTCCACTTTAGGTATCAGGGTCAGGAGGGTCTCATTCAAAGACTGAATTTTACTAGGGGAAACAAAACAGGAGCAAATGAAGCTAGCAAAATCAGCACCAATCAAAGACCAACACTTCTGGTAAAAGATGGCTTTGAAACCATCTTTCCCAGGTGCCTTGAGTCCATTCATAGCCATAACCGTGGCTCTGATTTCCTCACAGGAGGGGATCTGGTTCAGTCTGTTGAGAAGGCAAGTATCAAGCACAGGGAAGACAGCAGGCACACAACAAGACACAACATCAACATCTTTAGAAAACAAGGTAAGGAAGTACTCCCTGGCCAAGTTTTGTAGAGAGTCTTCATCAACCACCCATTTCCCTTGATCATCCTTAAGGGCAGTGATTTTATTCCTTCTTCTCCTGCTGAGGCAGCTGTTGTGAAAGAATCTGGTGTTCATATCTCCTCTTAACACCCAGTTGGCTCTGGCTTTTTGGATCCACAGCAGCTCTTCTTCCCACAACGTGTGCTCCAAGGAAACTCTGACCTCCTGCTCTCTTGCCAGAGAGCTTCTAGAAGGCCTTCTTTCGTTGAGCATTTCCAGGGACTTCAGATCATTCAGGAGTTGCTTCTTTCTCCTGAAGATGTTGCCATAAACCTCTTTATTCCACTTTTTGAGGGCTTCAGAGATACTCTGCAAAGCAGAAGGGAAATCACTGCCCCCTTTCCAACAAGATTCGAGGAAGGGAAAAAAATTATCATGAGAAAGCCATGAAGCAAAGAAATGGAAACGTCTCACCAGATTCTTTTGCTGAGGTTCCTCCGAAGTGTAAGTGAGGATAGGTCTATGATCAGACTTCAGCTTTGGAAGGTGGAGAGTGGTGGTCATAGGGAACTGTTGTTGCCAGTCAATGTTGCACAGGCTACGATCCATCCTCTCCTTAATCCTAGAGCCTTTAGTAAACCAAGTGAATTTAGGGCCAGAGAACCCCAAATCAATCAAACCACAGTCCTCAATACAGCTGTTAAAAGCTCGGGCTTTGGCAAAACAGAAACCAGCCCCCCCTTGCTTTTCCCATGAGCGAGAGATGGAGTTGAAATCCCCTGTGATAAGCCACGGCATGTTATTTCTTCTTTCCATGCATCTTAATTCCTCCCAGAGCTGCCCTCTTTCGTGTTCATTGGGGCTAGCATACACTGCCGTGAGTTGGAAGCAATCCTTGTTAGCCATGGAACACTTAAGATTCAGAAACTGTTTATGCTTATCCAACTCTTCCATCTGCAAGTAGCTACTATTCCAGAGGACCCAAATACCGCCACTAAATCCAACTGCATCAGAGACCAACCACTTGTCATACCCCATCTGTTTAATGACAGTAAGGGCATCATCACCACTAATCCTAGGTTCAACAATACACACAATGTCTGGCTTATGGTTCACCGCATAAAGCTTAAAAGTAGACAAAAACTTGGGGTCTTTGGCACCCCTACAGTTCCACGAGAAGACTTTAACCATTGGAAAGTGATTAAGGGAGCTTCCCTGGAGGACCCCACGGTCGAGATCAACAATTCTCAATGGCCATGGCCGTCACCTCACCCCCTGCTAGCTCCACAAAGCCAGATTCGGAGTGTTGCACATTCTCTGGTGCACGAGTTGCAGTCTCCAGGTTGGTCTTGAAGTCAAGCTTCCTGGTGATGGTTCCTCCATTATCCGGGAGTTCTTGTTAGTGCTCCACTTCCCTGTTCTTTGCAGGAGAGATGGATGCTCTCATCTTTGGCTGGTGGCCTGTTTTGGCATCTTTGCCAGTTCCCTTGGCATTCCCTGATTTGCTGGCATTGGTGGTAGGCGTGGATCCACCTTGTTTCACAGGAACCAAGGATCGAGGA